GCTTGGTTGGAAAATCAGACTCGGTACACTTCCCCCGATGGCCACGAGTATGGTGCGTGTGTATTTTGTGCACCTTAAATGTCGATTTTGACGTCTTCTATCTGCCAAGACACCCTTGTCTCGCATTCCGGTGGGTACGAGTGCTTTTTGTATCAAGCCCGTTGACAAGCAAAGTCGGAGTTTGTCCTCTGCAATGTTGATATGTCCGTTTTATTTCCCGTGAACCTGGCGCTCCGTCTATCTAATCTTGTTATCAATACTTCATCATGGTAGATCCGATGCTCCTTCGCGGAGCTCGACGTCCCAGGACGTCAATATATTAGGTGAGCTTCGATACTTCTTCAGGCATTTATTCAGGTTGCCATTTATCTCATGCGATATCGGTATCTCCTGGTCCATGTCTGTCGCTGCTAAATTAATCGTTCACGGTCTCTGCAATCTACTAACTGACGTCATGTCCTTTGCAGCTGTTTCGAATCATGACCGCGTCATCTTGTGCGGCAAAAGAGTAGCAGTTACTCACGACTTGACACTCGTTCCTGCGGTACAATGTATTTATCATTAATAACTTCTTGATGTCTCATGTAGTCATATCATTTATGCCACTCTATGGTTACACTCGTGATCGTCTGGGAGTGGCTTTTGGCCCGTTTTGCTACTCTGAGCTCATATTTTATGCTGTAAACTTGTACTACTGACTGGACTTTGTTGTTTTGCTTGAGAACTTCAAAGACAGGTCTACAAGTTTGAACAGCTGTATGGTTGAAATTGGTGATAATATATGACTTGGTCCCTCAGGCTGAATCACGGGTCAGTGCTGGCGGAAATGGCCATCCACCAGAATGCGAAAATATCATTCTTGTTCGGGTTTTGGCAAAACCATTTTATTCAGAGTGCTATAGTGCCCTACGCAGGAGTAAAACGACCGTATATGTAGCTTGAGCGCCAGCACTGGCGCTTAGTGTACGATGAAGCTTCCGGATTGGGACATCAAACAAGCTTGCCACTGCCAGATTGCGAGAACCAGACTTGGTAGCTATGTCTCTTCGACTTGCGAACCTCAGTCTCAGATACCGTTGGCATGAAGCCATTCTAATACATAAAGTACGTTCGGAGCGCAATAATCGACGTACATCAGATACTAAAGACAGTATTATAGCAATGGCAACGTCAGTTTCAAACTAGCCCACCTGTCCTGGCCAGACGCGAGAAGAAAGTGGCTACTCCAACGAAGAAGCAACTGGCCGCCAAAGCGCGTAAAAAATCACTCAAGACTCGAAAGAGTATTTATGATTCGGAAAAAATGACATTGGAAGACGCCATCGCGGTCCTTCGGGTGAGCGTCAGCACCAGCGATACCTTAATCGCCTTCCTGACTCCCAAGCGGTAAATGCAGGCTGTGGAGGTCGCCGCACCAAATGCCACGTATGAATTGGTCGTTAAGACCGAGATGACTAAAGGAACTACCATTCCGAAAGGTCGCTACAGCTTGCCCCGCGAAGCGAAAGCGCAGACGAAGGACCGCATCCTCGTATTTGCTGAAGGGAAACAGGCAGAGGAAGCCCGGAGCGCGGGGGCGGATATTGTTGGCGGACCAGAGCTTGTTGACGGGGTGCGCCTACTCTGATCCGCATTTCTACTAGGCTAACTGTACGACAACTCAGATCATTAGTGGTCGCCACCAAGCTAGCATGTTTCTCTGCACGCCCGCCCTGATTCGTGCTATCACTCCTAAGCTAGGGCGCGTCCTTGGACCTCGCGGCCTAATGCCGTCTGAGCGGCGTGGCACCGTGACAGATAACATAACTGGATATCTTCGCAAACTGAAGGGTACAAGTGAATGGAAAGGGGACAAAGCGGGGACCATACGGGCACCAGTTGCCAAGGTTCATCTTGATTTTACACCCCATAGGCGTTCGTCTGATCTCTTCTACCTAGATGCATTTCTCTGTCGAAGACGTAATCAGGAATGTCAGGTATTTCCTCGGTGTAGTCAAGCGCGCAACCGGTAACCTCAGGGATCCGAATGCGGAGCAAGACAAAAAGGACACGAACAAGAAGCCCCGTAAGAACCTTACCTTCGTCATCCGCGCGTTCGTTACTCATACTTGAATTCAGCGACTGCCATCACCCGTGTTGTTCTAAGTTCGCGGCAAGGTCCTGGTATACAAATCTCAGATGTGTAGATAGCTCCGACGGAGGATGTCGTGAGTCAAGGGCAAGAGTGGAGATAATGTCATATTGTGGCTAAATTATTCCTCACTCCAACCGCTAGCTACTCGTGAACGCTGCCTCCTTTGTCTTCGTTTTTGCTCTTCTATCTCAGCAGACAACTGGGCATAATCTACGGCCTGGGGATATGCTTTTCTGCGTTTACCGATGTCCTCACCTTTGGCTGGCGTAGTTGCTCCTTTAGCGCGGGATGGCTGATAGCGTTCTTGCGGTGCATTCTTAGGTGCATGAGGAAATATATCACCCCAATTTGACTTTCGGGCATCATAGTACGGTTGCTTCCCCTGTGATTTTGGAACGGTCATTCGCATTATTTTACCTATCATAGAACATTAATGATCAACAATCAATGCTGTGCAATTTATGTCGATACAATATTACCTTCTCTTGTACAGCCATCCAGGATGATGTGGCCACTACGTTTGAGGGGAGGGAATACAAGGCGAGGCCACGAATAAGCTTCGAGACGAAGAGCATCTTCCACTTGTGTTTCCGGCCACTTCTTTATTGGCTGTGCTCTTGTGGGTGCGTGCGGTTCCGCTGTTAAGAGTTCCACACTAGAGTCTGACGCAGACAAAGGCACCTCAGTGGTGTGCCTCTGCTCATGGTCAATGATGAGCTCTTGCACCGGTGTCTGCTTGGAAGCCAATTTTGCAATCTCACGTTTACCAACGTCACCAATCCGGCCGACTTTGGTTCCAGGCGGAATCGGCCTACTACCTCTTCTAATGACGACGTAAGAATACCCAGTATCTTCATGTCCGACACCAGAATTTTTTGTTTTTCGAACAAATTTAGGTCGTTGGAGTCTCTGGGAAAATCCACAAACTAATTTGCTTGCACCTGGGTGGTAGAGAGGACATGAACCATCATGAGGGCACTGTGAAGCATGTCAGCTTGGGCTTCCCTAATTCTATCACAATGAACAGGATTTACGGGCGCGACGACATGACAGCCTCTGACATGCCATGATTCTGTTTCAGGGTCCTCCAGTTCCTTTCGACCCATACGCAACAAGAAGTCTCGAGCTTCTGCAATGGCTTCGAACCCAGAGGTAGAGCTATGATCAATCAAGACCTGCATACAATAATTCGATAATTCATTAGTAATCAATATGTAAGCAGTGTTCAAGGGAAAAGTGCTACTGACCATTACACCTGCACCACTCTCCCACATCCCCTTGACGAGCGTCTTTCTGGCCAGGGAAGTGGATAATGAAGACAGCATGAATGCGGATAAACCAATGACATCCTCTCCATTTGACCGAGAAATCTTGTCATCGTCGTGGAATGACTTTTGCCATGAAAGACTTAGTCCAGATGGGTTGACATCTATAATGAGTTGACATCCAATGGCAAGACTTGAGCTAACAATATGCAAACCTTTCACCAAATTCTTCCCAATGTTGATAAGACCATCTCGTTTATCAATGCCAAGGTATTCTGAAACGGTGCTTTCCGCAAGCTGTGCATCATCGCTATCTGGATGGGCTTGTTGATGTAGTTGATCACGGAACGAGTGTGATGTTGCCCTGTGGCCAGTATCATCGATAGGAATATACATATGCAACAAATGGCAGTTGGTAAGAATGACGTACCACAAGCCTGCACCTGTCCCGCAACCCCAATCAATGACTCGTTTGATTTTCCACTCAGGTCCAAGCCTTCGTTTGGCGTGATCTAAAACAGCAAAAATAGCGGCATAGTGAGATGGGAGGGCAACAGAAGCAAAGGCGGTCCCGTCTCGCTCAGCATGACGGCCTGCTTGTTTGCGCGACTTGTACTGAACTTTATAAGAAGTGTCCCAATCCTCGCCATTGCCTTTATCGTGCATGAAAAGGCGTGTGGCATCGGAGCGCAGAGCATGCTTATCCGAATCTGCGTGAGACTTTCACTCAGAAATGACCACATGCGGGAATTATTCACGCACCAGCTATGAGGCGAGTGATAGCGGTCTGCAACTCAAAAGGTAAAACGACTGCACCGATGCGCTGACTGCCAAACAGGGCTGCAGGAGATTTTCGCCCTTCCCTATCATCGAAATGTTCTTCCTGCTCTTCTAATTCTTCAGGTTCTATATCACCGTCTTGAGTGGATGAATCAGAGGGATACACCTCTAATTCTCGATGTGTCCTGGCATGCGGATTGTCCGCTGTCGTGTGTCTAGACTTTTGACGCAAAAGGGACATATCAACGTCTTTCAATAATGTTTGAAATGATGGATCGAGGTCCAATGGAGCATTGGGTTGATGGGCAGAGGCGACAGCATTTGCAGAAAAGTTGGCATTGTCGACATACCGACGGAGAGCAACTCCCAGTGATTTACGACAGGTGGATCGCCACATGTGTCTGTCGTCAGACTCGGAAGGAACAAATGCGAGAACCACCCTAGTAAAGGCGTATAGTTTCTAGTGGTATCTCTTCCTTGCTTATGAGCCAATGAAATCAGGGAGGAACGAAACACCAAAGAGCGACTCAAGCAAGGCGAAGATATACCAAGCTACGAACTTCGATCGAACTGTCGTGTCTTCAATTGGAGAACACGTGACTGCTGTGTCGAATTGAGCCCATTCAACTTGTTCTCCACTAGTATGCTGTTACTTGCAGACTTTGATGATATGCAGAGAAACATCGTAATATAAATGGTATAAAGCAAAAAACCAAAAAAAAAAAAAAAGAGTACATACTGGAATTGCGCCATGTACGCCAGGTATATATTTGAACCTTTACAATTCAAGAACCACTCAGGTGGCGGAGGACGGGCGCTCAATGCGATACAGATACATCCATATTACGTAATAAAACTTCTCCTTACCGTTGAGCATGACTTGCTCAACCTCGTTGTCATCGAAGGCGACGACCGCACCAGTTCTTACTCCCTAGTTTCATATCCTAGATTCCAACTTCGCTTGCATTTCCGCCCGTCCTATAACTTACAGACTGGCGCACTACGCACGAACTTAGCATGCAAAGGGAGCACGTCCGCAGGGGTTTCTCTATATACGTATCTTCTAGGTCCTTGCTGTTCGCGAACTCTTTTGCTAATAGTGTGAATCGTCTCTACTAGTCATCAAAAGGTGGTTCTGGAGATTGATTTCTCCGGAAGTCTCTGGGTAAGCTCGCACTGGCAAGGACCATGCCCGGGTGGTCTTATGATTGTGGCAGGGTTACACGGAAATCACGGTAGTACCGACCAGCAAAGATCTCAAAACCCTCCATCTCCACTCCAGACAATGCGGTAAGCATTTAAATTATGACTAGTAACTTCGCTGATCAGGTCTTCAGCCATCCATTCAGTGACTGTGGCCTCACATCATGCGGACTTCGTCCACCATGACCCACTTGCGAATTTAAGCATCTCCAACCCGCATGACTGTCACTATCATCCGGAGCTGAAACGAAAAGTATACTCCGCCCTGGCAGAAGGTGACGAGGGCGAGCTCTCCATTGCTATCCCTAAGGAGGTTTCATTGAGACAATCGGGACATGCTGCTATGGGTATTGTCAGCGAAGGTTCGTTTGAATTATGAGTAAATGGCCAAATGTTCTGATCGGATTGACGTCTAGCCGCAACGCCTGAGCCCCAGACACCAGGACCGATGGCGCAACCTATTCTTTCTATCCCTGAGTTCGTGCCCATCATTGTGAATATTGTATATAGTGTCCGGAAGCCCGTAGACGGCATTCAATTTGTCTTGCCGACAGATGCCTGTCCATACGTGAGTCAGCGTTCTATCTGCGGTGTTGAGCACTGGTATTCATCTATATTATTAGCGTGTGCCGCATGTGTATACAACCCCATCGTCTTCGGATGCTGCCCGTTGTTGGGTGCCATGCATCGACAATATGTGGGAAAAGTGTACGTGGGAGTTCGAGTTCGTCGTCCCAAGATACCTCGAGCAACGAGATTCAGCGCTTGAGGACGATGACGAGCCACGAGAAGGAGAAAATCCAACTGTGGTCATCTGCAGTGGTGAACTCGTGGAGCAAGTAGCGCATCCATATAACTCAAGCAAGTCCATATTCTTGTTTTCACAAAGCACCCTCACTTCAGTACAGCACATTGCGTTTGCGGCTGGTCCGTTTCACGTCCACTCAATCCCAGCGGATCTAAGCGCGGCGGAGGACGCATCAGGAACGTTGCAGCCGTTGATGCATGCGTTCTGCCTTCCTGGACATGAAGCGCTACTACTATACTCGGTCTCATTCATGCGCTCAGCTATGAGCTTCTATTCCACAGAGTTTGGGTCATATCCATTCGGATCGCATAAACTGATATTCGTGGACGAGATGCCTACCCAACGTTTCGATAGCGCCACCTTATCGCTTTTGTCGGTGGACCTTTTGCACGGTGACGATGCGATCGACCAAGTCTTCGAAACCCGGCATTGTTTGAGCCATGCGCTCGCCTCTCAATGGATCGGTATAAACATTCAACAAAAGACGTGGTCAGATACTTGGCTTGTGAACGGGCTGGGACTATACATCACTGGCTTATTCATTCGTAAGCTCTTAGGCAACAACGAGTATCGTTTTCGCCTCAAGAAGGACATGGAGCGCGTGCTGGAACTGGATAACGGGTCGATGCCTCCCATCTGCCAGCCACAAGTGATGGAACCACCGGATGCAGCCACGCTCCCTTTCGTCAACCTGAAGGCAGCTCTCGTTCTACACATCCTGGATCGCCGCCTGGGCAAATCTGGAACGTCTCTCGGACTATCGCGCGTCTTGCCTAAAGTTTTCTTGTCTGCGATCAGTGGTGAAATGCCTAATAACGCGATATCCACACATTCATTTCTCAGGACTTGCCGAAAAGTAAGTGGTATCGATCCGCGTTCATTTGCGGAACAGTGGATATATGGCAGTGGATGTCCTACTTTTGGGTTTTCTGCCACGTTTAATCGAAAGAAGATGGCGGTGGAGATCTCAATGCGTCAGGAAGCACCCGCATACAAAGCACACGAGAACAATGAAATCACGAGGACTTTGATGAAGCCTGTACCATTCTTCGAGGTAGGCTGAGTAGTGACAGTGATATTATCTCAAAGTTGCTTACTTGGACTTATCAGGGACAAATGACGATTCGAATACACGAGGCTGATGGGACACCATATGAACACGTGCTGGATATCCGTAGCCCGTTTAAACGTTACGAAGTTCCATTCAATACGAAGTATAAACGTGTACGACGGAACACGAAACGATATCTTGCGCGGCAAGCGGCCGCTCAGGCAGCTGCAGAGGGAGATGCTGAGGCTGCAGCTGCGATGGACATGGTGGACATGGGCTTCGGACTGGAAATATGGGAGAAAGAGAAGGAACGTGAGAACTGGAAGGTAGCGGACTGGACAGAGGAAGATGAGCAGAACATGGCCGGTCAAACATACGAATGGATACGCATTGACGCGGATTTCGAGTGGATCGCGGGTATCGCTTTCGATCAAAAGGACTACATGTGGGTCTCGCAACTGCAGCGCGACAGAGATGTTGTTGCGCAGTATGAGGTATGTTCCTATATTTACTTGTCAGCCTCAAGATTATTCTGAAGAATGGCTATGATAGGCTATCTTAGTTCTGTCGAAGTCGCCCAATGCGATCATTTCTAGCACGCTCACCAAGACCGTCTTGGTCTCTAATTACTATTTCCGGATTCGATGTGAGGCTGCTCAAGCTCTTGTCAGCGTAAGTCTAGCACAATTCGTCATGTCTACGCCGCTCATTGTTGTGCCTTTTTAAGTGTGGAATACAACGGCTAGAGTGGCTGGGACTCTTCCATCTGTTTAAACTCTTTCTCCGATATTGTTACGAGCCAGAAGATCCCAATCCCGACTTATTCAGCCATACTTATGTACCAAGACCTAACGACTTCAGCGACCTGACGGAGTATTATGTCCGCAAGGTACGTTCTACGCAACTGGTAGTGCTAATACATCTCAACTCGACGTTTTGTAGAGCTTGCTGAGGGCCATTGCTCGGGTCCGCTTTGAGAATGGCAAAACACCACCGATTATCCGGCAGTTCTTAATCGACCAGCTGCGATACAATGACAATACCGCCAATCCAGTATGTTAAGCGAGCGCAGTGATTAATTGACGTTTGCTAATGATATGTTGCAGTATTCGGATGCGTTATACATTTGTACTATCATCTCGGCTTTGGCGACCGCCACGATATCTGTTGTTCCGCCCGAACGCGGGGAGTTCATCGCGACGGATTCTCAGCCGGTTCAAGACAGTCAAGATGCCGATTTGCTGAGGCAGGCTCTGGCTGAAGTTGATAGGTATCGCAGTATGGATAGGCTGATACCAACCTATCACAACGTCGTCACAGTTGCAGTTATTGAAGTGAGTCATCTGAATGTTTGGTAACAATGCACATGGGCTGAATATTATAATTAGTTCTACTTAATGTTGAGCATGGGTGGGCTAATCCCGCATGACGCACGCACGTTTTTTCCTTTGACTCGGTGCGTGACTCATTCATGAAATCTAATGCATGTATTCATTGTACGGAACATCTAAGGGAGGGCAATTACACTCAAGTGCGCATAGCTGCCTTTGATCATCTATTCCTTACCAGGTGGTATACCCCAAAGGTTATGCGCTATGTCCTTGCGGTCATGGCAAATGATCCATCTCGTGTGGTCCGGAGACATGTCGCGCAGAATGCTTGCCTAAGTCTTGCGTTACTGCTCACCATGGGCGAGATGAAGACAGTGAAAGAGACTGAGTCGTTGCTTATCGAGGAAGATGGCACCGTTGCTGAGAAGGCAAAGGAAAGCAAGAAGAGTGACATTGATGTTATGATCAAAGCCTTCAGGAAGGATAGAGAATTGGGCAAGAACGAAGTCACAAGAGAACTTTTGATGCCCATAGTGCTGTGAGTGATACAATTTCTACATACGGTACCGCTCTTTAACCATATTCTTCAGTGCTCCAGATACCGATCTTGAGGTCCGCTGGTGCTTACTGAAGCTTGCGGATCTACTCATCCGTGGCTCAGAAGAGGCTCCCCCCAAAGTTACTATTCACCTCCCACCAACGCCAATTACAGAGGTCGCTCCCCCAATACCTTCTGTCAAGGTTCCATTCAAGTCCCGGCCGTTAATCAGAAGTGGCGCTCCTCCCACTAAGGCAGCTTCAACACCTGGGAAACTCAAACTACTACCTAGTACTATACAGGGCGATGTCCCTGCAAGGACACCGAGTACCACGCCTGTTGTGATGCGTCGTGAAGGTTTCCCCGTGCCCAAGGTATCTGTGCCAAAGAAGGTACCTATTATGGAGAAGAAGAAGCCTCAGAACGTCCCAAAAGCTCAATCGGGCGGTATGAGCTTGAATGATCTCCGGGCCTGCAGGAATGCTCTCAAGAAGCTCCAAACTCACAAGCGCGCTGTTGTGTTTTTGCAACCGGTGGACCCAGTGCGAGATCACGCGCCAAAGTACGCTTTTGTTTTAATCCATGTTTCTCCCAGCACCTAAATATATTGCAGTTATTTTGATGTTATCAAGAATCCCATGGATCTCAGTACAATGAGTGCGAAACTCGAACAAGGGAAATACAACGACCGGTTTGCCTTTGAAGCAGATTTTCATATGATCATCGGCAACGCGAAACTATATAACCTTTCGGGCAGCTACGTTCATAACGAAGCATTGGCGCTTGAATCCTTTTTCGAGAAACGTATGCCTGACTATTTCTCGATACGAATGAAAATGAAGCTCATGTTATCTTCAGAATGGGTGCGCATCAACAAAACCCTCGAGGCCGCTGATCGGTCCGCGCAGCCACGAGTCATGAACATACCTCCGGTGGAGCCTACCGTCGTGCGGCCGGCCGTCCCCAAGTCTCCTGTTGTCCCTCTCGTCCCTCCTATAGTTGCTTCTGCTCATTCCGCGAAACCTTCGATTAAGCTGAAGGTTGGTGGCGCATCCAATGGAACTCCGGTCGCTCTCAAGCTCGTACCTAAGCTCAAAGCCAAGAAGCCCCAGGAGCGCATTCTTTCTGCGACTCCGCTTCCCGACCAATCGACAATTATTGACGATGGTTCTGCTGATTTATTAGAGGAGGTGATTGCTATGGAACGAGAACGCAAACACCGTGTTTCTACGTCAGCCGAGAAGGATAAGCATGCACCGCCGAAGTTCGTGATCGGCAAACGCAAGAAACCTGCAGATGAACCAACTGAGGATGAGATTCTGGCCCTCGCGACACCTCCCAAGAAAGAGCGGCCTACAGCTCCTGCGCCTGTAGCTGGTCCATCTACTCCAGCGGTGCCTCCTACCCACAGGAATTCAAGTGCAACAGCTATGCCTCGTAACGGGGTCACTACTCAGAAGAATAAGGAGAAATTGACCAAACCAGCCCCTGTTCTCATGCCTGAAATTTCTGCTGCCCCTGCTCCGCGTCCGTCCGTCAAAGGCAAGGAGAAGGAGGTACCTCCCCCTACATCCACACCATCCAAGGCAAAGAGGTCGCACTCTCAGACGACGTCCATCAACGAGAAGAAGTGTAGAGAGATCTTGAAAGTCTTGACCAAGCTACCTGATGCGCGCATTTTCCTGAAACCCGTTGATCCCGTATTGGATGGGTGTCCGACGTAAGTGAGGTTCCACCCATCTCATTAGCTAGTACTCACGTCTTGATACAGATACTACGATGAAATTAAAGAGCCAATGGACTTCGCTACCATGTCCACCAAACTTAGCGAGGGCGCTTATACGACTATGGAAGGTTTCGCTAAGGATATTGAGCTCATTTTCGGTAATTGTCGAAAATTCAATCCACCTACCACTTATCCAGTCACTTGTGCGGATGGAGTTGAGCGGATATTCAAGAAGGAGTGGAGTAAACTCATGGAGAAGAAATTAGCATGGAATGAGAAGCGGAGTCTGCAGAGCGTGATGACCAGACTGGTTACCGACCCAATGTAAGTGCTTCATGTTTGAGTCCCGGTATTATATTGATATATACTTTACAAAGCTCCTTCGTCTTCCGTGAACCGGTGGACCCGATAGCTCTAGGTATCCCGACATATTTTGACGTCATTCCCCGCAAAGACGCACGCGATCTTCGTACGATTAGACAGAAGCTGGACGCAGACAAGTACGATTCGACCGAGGCATGGGAAGCAGACATGGAACTCATGATCGATAATGCCATTCACTTCAACGGGGCAGATTCCGAGGTCGGTCAGATTGCTATGCTTGTGAGAAATAGGTACAAGGAGATGTCATCGAGTGCCAAGACACCGGTGGCGAAGAGGAAGGGCAGCGACAAGGGAACCCCCCAACCCACCAAGAAAATCAAGTTGGGATGATCCGTGTATCATACTGCAGGCTGCAGCTCACTGTATACCTTTTGGATCTGTTGATTGCATATTACAGCGTTATAGTTCTCTCGGATGAGTGTACTTAGATTATAATGGACAGCTTTTCACGACTATCTCGGAATAAGAATCGAAGCAAGGCAAACATTGTACATCATATGACTGAGATCCATAAAACACTAACTAGGCAGCGACAGCATTGCGTTACAATTTGACAGCCGAGACTTCAAACAATATCCATGGGCTCTTCCCTCGATTCTGGTGGCTCGACGGTACCAGAAGACATAGTATACTCAGAGGGCGCGGCGGAATGGTATGGAGATGTAGGCGGTGAGTTGGGGTCCGACACCCGCGCCACTACTTCGGGAGGAAGACGAGAGAGGAAGGCCTGGTTATTATACTTCACGTCGTTCTGCATGACATTTAGGGGAGGGGCTGAGCGCATATACAGCGTTTCAGAACGATAAGTCAGACCTTAATGTTGTCAGGCCATGCAATTTGCAAGCTCTCCTCCTCTTCTGTGAGTGCGCGACTATAAATGAGGAAGAATGGCCCTGCTCCGAGATGCAGGCCTACAGGGTCGGTTAGTACAGTTTCCTCAGAGACCTGAAGAAATAAGGCGGCCATGTCAATAGACTCTGCGATGATGAGGGTCATACAAGCCTACCTGATTGACGATGTAGTCTAGGGTCTTCCACCATATGTGCTTCTGCTTGACGTAGGAATACACGTGGCTGCGACCATACAAGCCGTCATGGGCTAGGACGACGCGGAGATCATACTAAAATGAGTGGCTTCATGAGCGGCATACGCGACCAGGAAATTGCAGCACGATCTTACTCTATGCTGTTGCAACTCGGGGCAGTCAAACATACTTGTGACTTGGTCCTTCAAATGTGCAACGCTGGCATCCATGGCTGCACTTAATTCAGGGTTATAGATTTTGCCAGACACCGTTGCAGACCCACTTTGCAGCTCGTTCTCAATGCGCACTAAGGCCTTGCGAAGTTTTTGGGCTGTATCGTGTAACTCCGCTTTACGCTGGGGATCACTATTGTCTTCAGCAACAGTTTCGTAGTAGCGCAATGATGACCGAAGATCCGCAAGCGTGTCCCTGTCCTACAGGCAACAAGAAGTTTGTGGAACACTCCATCAGTCGAGATGCGGTGCGTATTAGAGTGAGTCGTACGTTGTATCTCACCAAGGCATCCTTCTTCGCGACAAGTTCGTCGATTTGTGCAAGCAGTTCGCGTTGCTTCCCCCTCTTCTCATTTGCCAGTTCCAAGTTACTCTTCATGAATTGATCCAAGTACACGTGTTTTGGGTACCCAAACGTCGTCCGGTCAGTTCTGCCGCCCTTTCCCACTGATGAAGTATATGTCGGCGGCGCGTTATCCCGTACAATCTGGAACGCGACGACTTCGGATGATTCAAAAATGACCTGCTGTCTCGAAGGATCAGGATTAAGGTCGGTAAGACCGAGCTCTCCGGAAAGACAGGAAATGAGATCATTTGTGTCTTCTGCTCCTCGGACGTCGACCTTCACTATTGAAAGATCAAATTTTGGATCAATAGGCGCATGGGAAAGATCCGCATTGCTGAAGCCATATCGAAAATGGAACAGCCTGCAGGCGAAAATGTTTTAATCAGTCCCAACTCATATCACGGGCGAAAAGTGTCGGACAAACCTTTGCATGGAAAGCTCTGGATTAGCGGCAGCAACATCCTGCTGCAACATATTCTCCGCAGTCCATGCCAATCTGTTATAGAAATCTGGCGAGAGTCGTTACACTAATCTCGCTAAACCGGTAAAGAACATACTGTATGCAATGTCCCCCGGGCGCTCCGCTGGCGTGCTCCAATGCTCCGCGTTCATTGCAGCAAGAAGTTCGTCGACGTTTAGCTCACTCATCAGCGCGACGTCCATGTTGGCAAACATCTCGAGAAGAGACCAGATTACAAGTTCTGCTGCAGAGTTTGCGCCCTTACTTTTTACTTCTGGAATAGATAATTCGACGCACCTGGGCCGCCAGTCGGCGGGCTTATATCATCATTTTCTTGAGACTCACTCGTCGGGCGCCATTGGGCTATAGCATAACGCACTTGCGGAACGTGGAATAATCCGTGTAAAATGAGCCCCGCATGAGCGAGGGACGAATTGGTCGAACGAAGAGCAATCGGCCTGCCGACAATGATGATATAATACATACAGTATAGTCAGTTCGCTTACTGCTCGTCTTTTCTGACCCTTTGCTCCAGAGGGATATCCTCATACGCCTCTTCCGAATAGTTATAAGTGAGACTTGCTGCTATTGCTTGACTGAGGGAGTGGTCGTCCTGAGAAATTCCAGTCCCCACTTCCACCTAAATTATTCCAATATTAGGGCTTTCAAGAAGCGAATAAAACAATAAGACTAAAGCACATTCGACGGAACAACAGCCCAGTTTGGGTCCGGAGCTCTGTCGCTTGGCCCGAATTTGGGAGCATGGTCCTCAAGCGAGGCCCGCAAGGCGCGCGACAACTCATGGTCATCATCGTCCGCAGTAAGGTCGATGACGGGTGATGAGTTTTCAGGTTTCGAGGCTCATGAGTCGCTCAGCCTCTGTTATGATGTCAAATCGGTACAGAGCAATGAACTCACGAGGTGGCGTCTGTGGCCTGGATCGCTTCGAGCTCACTTCCGCAGTCTCCAGCTGCTGAATCTCGTTAGTCAAGCCCCCGTCGAAAATGGCGGCCGCAGCCTTTTCGACATCGCCAAAGTGTTTGCGGAGTAGCTTGAGGGCGACATCAGACGTGATACCGCCGCCCATGAGAGTCATCAGAGTGTCTACATCGGCCTGCTCCTTGGGTGTGGGGGAGGATGATTGAGATGCTCGGTGCTCCATGAGGAATTGAAACGGTCCTCGGAATGAGCTAGTGAGAATTCAAAGCAATCAAAATATCCCGAGTCAGTGGACCTGGCCTTGCGGTCGTTGTGCTCTGTGGATAACTTCCAGAGGTTGTACAGCTCGCCCGACATCAATGTAACGGGAGCGTACTGGTGAAAAAATCGCACGTGGCTCCAGATCCGCAATCGTATACTCGTCTGAGTATTTCTTCCTCCCTACTTCGACAATGCCTCCCAAATCTATCTTTCGACAGTCCGGCGCACAACACTTCCAGCTGGTCCATCGCTCTCAGCGAGATCCATTGATCCATGATCCGGAGGCCAGCACACATGTCTTGAAGGCATTCGAGCGCGGTAATGCCGCAAAGGTGTTTTTGATAATCGCTTGCACGCCAACATGTTTAACGGCCTAGACACATAGGGAAAGTCAAGGGCAGAGCTCGAACGAGTACTTTCGCCCTCCGATCTCGCTCACGACGCCGAGCGAGCAAATATCGGCGAGGCGGCATTATACGGTGTCTACTATGACGATACAACCTATGACTACATGCAACACTTGCGGCCGGTCGGTGTGCAGGAAGATGGCGTCGACAGCATACTTATCGAGGCTCCGTCGAAGCCTGCAGGGAAGGGAAAATCAAAACAATCCATTACATTAGTCGACCTACCTCCGGAAGTACTTCCATCCACCTCCGAACTCCCGCGAAATTACGAATCGAATATTCCGTCGTCGATAGCGGGTTTTCAGCCAGACTTAGACCCTCATTTACGTCAGGCACTGCAGGCACTGGAGGATGATGCGTTCGTGGACGACGATCTAGACGACGACTTCTTCGGAGAATTGGTGGCGGAGGGCGAGTTGCCCCTAGATGCCCACCTCGAATTTGAGTTTCGTGAGGATGGGTTTGAATATGAATCATCCAACGGCCGGACAGAGAGTGCAGCAGACAAAGATGATGAGGGCTGGGAAGCACGTTTCGCGCGATTTAAACAAGCACAGAAGGTGACGTCCTCAGAGAGCTCTGACGTAGATGCATATTCGGAAGGAGAGGACACTGTCGGTACATTGCCTCGGCTGCCAGTAATTGGAGGCAAGCGAAGACGTAAAGGCTCGTCGGATGCCTCGGGATATAGTATGAGCAGCTCATCAATGTTCCGTAACGAGGGATTGACTACACTTGATGAGAAGTTTGACAAGGTAATTAGTCTGGTGTCCTTTTTGAAGTCACGGACCTCTCAACGTGAATATCTTCACACAGATTCAAAAGGAGTATGACTCGGACTCCGACCCTGATGGGAACGATGCATCTGAAGCTTCTGACGAAGCACCTGAGCTAATTACCTCCCGCGAGGATTTCGACACCATTATGAATGAATTTCTCGACAACTATGAGATTCTAGGTGGGAAAATGCGCCCAATACTCGCAGGCGAGACTGCTACAGACAAACTCGATACCATGCGAAAAGCTCTTGGCGCGGTGCACCTTCGTGATTTAGGCGAAGACAGCGAGGAGGAGGATATTTTGATGCCCTCAGACGTTGACGCCAAGAAGGATAGGTGGGACTGTGAAACAATATTGAGTGCGTGACTGGTCTTTATGAGTTTCAGGCGCGCATTGACTGTCAAGGATTCAGCGACCTACAGTAATCTTGAGAATCATCCTCGGCTGATCAGAGCCCGTCAAGAGAAACCTGTACCCAAAATCCGGCTCGACCCCAAGACAGGGCTTCCTGTAATTGAGGGAAAATCACACCCTCAGGCAAAGAGCTCAGATACCGCATCGGACTCTGACATGGAGGATGGATGCCGTGCGTATTTCGGATTTTACTTTGTGTTATCGAAAGCCAACTGCCGCTATGCAGCTACGAGAGTGACGATTATCCGATCCAAAAATGAGTCGAAGGAGGACAAGAAGGCACGCAAGCAAGCTGTTAAAGCCGAGCGACAGTCACGGCGCCTTGACAAGAAAGCAACGAAGGAGCAGTTCAGCGCGGAGGCGAAGAGGCACAACATAACACTTGCTCACAGGGAGAGGATGAAACCAAGAAAGCTGTGATGTATTTTACATGCGTGTCATAGATATCTTACGGGTATCGCCGGAAGATTACAATTGTACGGGGTATATGCGGCGGTCTACATGCAAACGGATTGAACAAGTGCAAGGTGCGGAAGTCTGGATGCCGTTGTAATGTAACATTGAAAGGAAACCACCTGGATTAAGGTGATACGGTGAGAGAATAGGTATGTGCGATGTTCACCAGTCGGGCCACAAATCTGAAAGGGAGTTCCCTTCGTCTTCTGGGGCATCGCGCTGCTTCATCCATCTGTCAGGTACCTGGGCGAGAACATACGAATACTGAAGACAACAATGACTAATGCAGATACTTACCAGAGGAAGATAGCGTTCCATTGCACTGAGAAACCGCTGTCGATACTGCTTCGGGCCTATGATAGTCGGTTCCCCTCTATTCGGTCCACCCAAGAAGGTAGTATCTTTTACCCAGCTTTCCAATTTCTTGTCCCAGGTATACGTGCGGATGTAATCTGCACCAACTTTATGAGGCAATTTCACACTCATGAGATGGTGTATGAGGCTCACCGACTATACCAACTACGAGCTCGTTCTTCATGCTGTCAACGCCGACAACGAGCGAATAGTCCATGACGTTGATATCGGCAAGGAATTTGCTGTCATTGAACAAGGCACCGCGTAAAATTCGCTTTGAATGCTCGCGTAAGTAGAATGGGGCCAAATGAGCGGCTAAAGAGGACTGATAGGTTGAATTATGCGAATATGTCGACGCGACCACATACTTTCAACCAAATTTTCATCGAGCAATACTTCGTTTTCTCGTCCCGTGGACTGCACGTGGCGGTTTCGAGTGGATCCTTTGAGATCGTATATCTAGATGAAGACATGTTAATCCATTCTGCACAGAGGACATAAAGTAGACAAATACCTTGGAGAATCGACGGTCGTAAAATAGATTCTCCATAACAAGCAAATTCATTTGCATCGGTTTCGACCTGCTCGAACCCTGGTGCTTGTGAGTCTTCTTGGAGGTAATCTTAAAACAGCCAAAAATTTTGGCAAGAAGGGTAGGCCGCTACAAGAACATCAGCTACATTGTGGCATGATGAAAGGATGGCGTACATTGGCTGTCACTGCCGACGACATATAATCGAAATATGCCGGCGCGAATGTCTCCATTGCCTGTAGCTCAGCTCTAGATAGCTCCTTGGCGATGAAGCGGTCATCTGCAGAGAGCGTCAAAAGTGTCACAAACAAGAAGGAGAGAAACATACCCAAAGTCTTCAAGAAAGCTGAGCCAGACTTGCCTCCGCTAGCATCCCACTTCACACATCTCGCCAGGGACTCGATCATGCTTCTTTCACAGTCGTAAGTTCGTCGGAGTGCATCGAACTGTTCGGGGTACAGAACGGTACAGCTGATGGTCAGGCCACCGCTCTCAAAATCTCCATGAGGTATTAGCTGGCACCACCGACGATCAATGACAATTACCCACAGATAGCCCAGGGCAACTTGGAAGATGGGACACGAAGGTCTTCGGTCGGATCAGCTCCATCAGAGCTATCTACATTCACTACGCCCCATGTAGAAGTGGACTCGGCAATAGACCGATCGTCTGGCATAAATGCCTCCCCGCCGTCAGTAATTTTCGGCTCTCGGGCCTGTCGTTTCTCAAATCGAGATTGCGCTAACATGTCTCGATATTGAGGGGAACTAACAGGACAATATGAGTTACCACTATGTAATTGGGTCACGGAGACTCACTTCAAAGCCAAGGCAATGATGGATGTCGGCTCATCCGTTCTAACAACCATAGATGAATTACGGAAGATGTGCTCTGGATCCGCCATGGGATCATCAGCATCTTGTTCTGTTCGAGGGCGTAGTTGCGGAGCCTGGGGCCAAAAGCCGGATAATGCCTTCAGAATGGAATGACGCTCGGTACCTGCGGGTCCCATATCAAGCTCTGGAGGTAAAGCCAACGGCGCTGTTTCATTCGCCATCGCGGTTACGATTGGGGACTGATGAAGTGAAGGTGAGGGTTCGGGCGTAGCCCTCAGAACAGCAGTGACAGGCTGCTCCTGATTGAATCCAGTATTTTCCGCTGGAGGGACTGCTACGGGTGAAACCACTTCAGACGGCTTGTTTTTCTGATCGACTTCGTGCGGGGCCTGAGAGGGTTTGGGAGATTCGGTGCGTTCTTGCTTTGTTTTCTTTACTATCTCGTCGTCGTCATCGCCTTCGTCATCGGCCTCGCTGGAGTCCGAGCTTTCCGATTCGTCCATGATAGCGTCCTTGATACTTTCAAGGACTTCCACCCTAGCGCGAGCTGAGGCAACTGGACGTGGGCGTCTTCCACGGATGACAGCGTAGCGACGGTTGGCACGCTCATTATCTTTGCTTATTCGTTCAAAGTGCTTAGTGATGTTAGAGACTTTTCCATTAGGTCCTGTTTGCCTCCTCAACGTGCTTTTTGGCCCGGAACTGCTGGTAGGTCGAGTGGATGGAGCCTTCTCCGCGGGAAGTCCACGCGCTGTTCCTTTTCCTTTCTTCCGATTACCAACGATGACAGAATTTGACCTTGTGAGCGGGGGAGAAGACATCACCGCTTTCGATGAGCTGTCCGTGCCGAGCTGTGTCATAGAAGACCGTTTATCAGGAGAAGTTCTGCGTGACGGCGCGCGAGAGTCGACAGACGATGCTATTGGACCTGGAATACGACTGCTATAGGGAGTGGCTCCTAAAGGCCTCCTATGGGTGAGGTAACGGGGTGCGATATTTGCTGCGTAGCCAGACTCAAAGTCAGATACCGAGGACTTACGGTTAACGAATTGGCGTCGGCCCTTTGTTCGTGTCCGTGGAGGGATCTCGCTCGGGGCATCGTGTTCACCCTCGGAGACCGGCACAGCAGGAGGGAATGCGGTTTTTGTAAGTTCCTCGACTCCCTGAGCTGGTAGAAAATCTTGATACTTCTTGACAAGTTCCGCGACGCTGGGGTAATTAAGTGAACGTCTGGGTAACCTTGATATAGGTTGCGCCACCTGTTCCACTTGTCCCTGCTCACTGTCATCACCAACCTGATGCGTATGTGGACGTCAGTCATATATCATTTCAACACGAGCACGAAGATTTTTCACCTTATGCGGCGACGTAGGAACCTCAACCGCCAGAGAATTCCGGCGTCCGGCGCCAATGGTGGAGTCGCTCTCTGGATCTGACTTGGGTGAGATTTCGATGGCTTCCACTGGCACAAGAACATCCCCCTTCTGCGGCTGAACCGATCCCGCGGGTGGGATAATGTCAGTGGATTCACTTTTCTCAGCGAGGGATTCCGTTTCTGACGCGTCCGAGGCCGAAGATCTCGACGTGAAAGAGTCTCCTGTTACGCGTCGCATTGTCATTGTAATAGGTCCAGATGTATTGTCTTCCGTCTCCGAGGCATTCTGCTGAACCTCCAGCGTAGAGTAATACTCGGATCGCCGAGGAAACATTGCTCGCATCGAATTAAACGCAGAGGGCTTTCGACTGTTACGATCCAGGAACTGTGTCATCCTAGGTTTCGGCAGCCTGTCAAAGTCCTGTTGCCAAGCGACAATCTTGTCTTGCCTATAAGCTCGCACTTGGTTCAATGCAAGAGTGTCGGTTGAAGGGGTGTCTTGGTATATTTTGTTGATCAACTTTGCAATGTCCTGTTTCTCCCATTCGGCCTTCATGATCAAATGGTTGATCTGCGCTGTGAGTCGACCATCAGCCTCTTCGTCGCCAATGGCCGCGTCAATATTGATGAGCTTGAGGTCACCAACCAGAGCGGCATACCACTGCTCGTTTCGCATGTGTAGTCGCTCAAAATCATTGTTCCTAATCTCCAGCTGGGTCTCCGGGCGGACCCGGATGCGCATGGGCGGATACACAACTTCGTGTAAGACGATAGGTTCCGCTTGGAAACGTACAGTCATCCCTTTGATAGCAAAGTACCTAATGTGAGACTGGTATATGTTATGCTGGCATCCGGCGCCTTGTACGAGCTGGACGTCGGCAGGATAGAAATGGAGTTCAAGGAATTTGGCAAAAGAGTATCTTTGCATCTCCGGAGACACAGGAATGAAGGGAGTAGCAGAACCACAAGTTCTGCAGACGCTCCATGTAATAATAGCATCCGGAGCATAGGGATAGTAACCGGCCTTGCTGATAATTTGACCATCCCATTGCTCAACTGCGACTATGAGACGCGATTCGTTGTGGGTATACACCTTACAATGGCGCGCAAGAGGTTCGTTGCAGCTCTTGTTCTCGCAAATCGCCTTTGGATCCAGAAACTTCACCAGGGTATCCATGACAGCCTTTTCGATGAATTGTCCCAGTGTGCAGTCATTTTCCCCGTAGAAGGTCATGTACTTCGAGGCCGGAGGCAAACATGCGCGATGGAGGCCAGGTTCCGTCATAGGCAAGGTAGCTTCCCACAGACTTATGCACTGATATTTCTCTACATCAAAGTCGTCCTTATTCTTCCGAAGATACCATTCCCATATCCGGCGCTGTTCGGCGTGCTGCCATTGAACATAGCTCACTCGGCTTTCAAGTTTGATGTCTTCGACCGTTTTCATCTGAACGGGAAGCTCTTCTGCGGGTGTATAAGGAACAGGGGAATGGGACACGAAACTCGATCCCATCGGAGCAAGATCAAAGTAACCAGGACGATCTGCGGATGGGGGAGTTTCGTCTTGCACAGGTGTATGTGGAAGATCTGGGATCGGAAGAGACTCAATCTGCGCGGCAATATCGTCTGGGTCAGCCGACGCCAATGGTCCCATTGTTGCCTGGGTAACAGTCTCCTCTTGCTGGTGCTGCGGAGAACTCCTCTCTTCTTGCCGTATAACCTCGTCTTCCCACTCTCGTTTAACACGAATCAGCTGGTCATCAAGCTCCTTCATACGACGCACAGGGTGTGGAGGAGGGAAGCGTAGTGTGGCCGAAACAGATATGAAAGTCTTCTCATACGGCTCCAACGATTCTTGGATACGCCGCGACAGACGTATGTGCTCCGCATCCTCGTTCGGAAGATCTTCTACATTTGTGTCATTCGGTATACCGTTTGGAGTGGTCTCCTCAATGTCATCCAAAGGCTGAGAGACGGAACGTTGCAGACTCAAGAAATTGATTGACGGCGGCGTAGACCCACTGGGGCCTGACATAAACGCTGCGGGACTAGAAGAATGTGTAGATGGCGTGGCCTCAGCTGTCAGAGCCGGCAACGTGATCACCGAGTCTTTCCACAAATGCGTTTCAAGCCTGAGATTCCGCACGATGAATGCAAGGAATCGTGTCACTTTCTTTATGCGTCTGAGCGTCTCAATGTCTCCGCCCCTAAGCACAATAGTGCAGCCCATCTCCGCATTGCAGCCTTCGAAACGCATATATGTCTTGCGCCGACCAGGAATGAGAGGATGGTCGAATGTCTGTATGCGGAAGCGCGTACAGTGCCCAAGACGAGGCTCGAGCGCAAGCTTGTCCATGGATGAGAAGACATCCCCCTGCGTTATACGAGCGACAAATTGTATTGCAGATGGCTTCACCGTTCTGGCAACTGCGATCTTGTGCTTCGCTAGAGCATCGAGGGCCAATCTCGAAACGGACTTCTCGGCCAATACGACATGCGGTCGAAGCGCGGCGATACGAGTGGCCAGATTGCCTAAGTAATCCTTCTCCTGTCGCAGGATCTGCCCGAAGTGCATATACTGCCCCTCCACACGATGGAACTCAAGAGGGAAGGTGACCAGCATTACTCGAGGGTTACGCTGTATCCGAAGCATCTGCTTGTGTGCCACGTTCTTCGTGATAACCGCACCATCGACATACTCCGAATCTTTGGGCGCACCGCCAGGTATCTTCTTGATCTTGACGTACCGTCGGACATCCATGTCGGCCCCTTGTCGCTGGGGATGAGCAGTGAATGTCAATTCACGGGCTATGCGGAGGCTGAGTTTCAATAATGTCTCCTCCCACTCCCCAATGTTAGGAATCTGCTCCGCAGAGAGCATCTGCCGCAACATGATCCGCAGGTGAAACATGGAGATTAGATTCAGCTCTTGAGCATATCTGTATTCCGAATTAGCAGTGGCGAATCATTAGTATGGAAAATATTACTGACGCTGTGCTCTCTCTCCTAGTTCTCCATCCGGGCTCTCCAGTACCGAAGCTCTCATTCAGCCGGCTCTGCACGCGACTCCGGATGAAAGGCGTCGCGATGTCAAAATCGGCGTAAGAATTGAACCGTGATCGAAGCATTCCTGGACTCTCAAAGGGATATGCCTGGTCAGGGGAACTCATCGGGAATTGCACAGAGCTCATGGATACATCCACAGAGATGGGCACCGTCACAGGGAAATCAATAGGAGTCTGGACTCCAGGCCCGGAGGGCGAGTTCTCGTTGCTGAACTTGTCAGATAAAGATAGAGGATCCTTATCTTCGTCTGTGAACGTCCTACGGAATGGGGCAGGATTGTCACGAATCCATGCTTTGGCATCGTCTGTAGGAGTAAACGGCTCGAATCCACTGACACTCTCAATGGAACCGTACTTCCTGGTCTCCGCTATTGAGAACAGATTGAAAGGCTCATCCATACGTCCGAACAATTGCGACGCAGCAAAGGGCGATTGAGGGTGATGACCAAGGGCAAACGAGAATGAGTCGGAACCAAGTTGGTGCGCCGCGAAAGGCGAGGTCATGTTGGAATTGATAGAACGCCTGTCGTCGTCGTCATCGTCATCGCCCTTGGCCAGCTTATCGAGGCAGAGGTTGCAGACCCGTACCATGCCATCGTGACCAAACCGTGCCCCTTTGATGATATTCGAAGCACAACGAGAACAGAAAATCTGGCCTGCGTGAAACTATTGTAGGACGGCTACTAGCAAAAAAAGACGGCACATACCACAAATTCTACAGTGGTGCTTTCTACGCCATGCCGTGAACACGCTCTTACAATCATAGCACTCCTTGCAGAGCTCGTCGTCCATCCAGTAGTCGCGGGACAGACCTACAAAACATCTAAGTAATAGCACAGGACGCTGCAGCTCCGTAGTTCAACACACCTTCGCCTCGGATTCTCCGAATCACCTTGGATACCGAAGCCGATCTCCTGATACTACCAGCTGCGGTCTTAATGCTCCGCGCGTCGGCATCCTGTATGGGGAACCCTGGGATGGCAGTACCATATATGCCCCCGTCAGGCGTATCCGGCGCATAGAAAGACCCTCCTCGAGACGGTGATCGCTCATAGTCAACGCCATACGACGGTATCTCGGACACAACGGGGGTCAAAGAGACCAGTGGGGGGGCAGGATTGGATACAGCAACGTTCAAGCGATTTATGGAGGATTTGCTAGATTGACTGGAGCCATTGTGAACCAGCGATGGTCTTCGCTGGTCGGTAGGCTGTCCGTTCTGATGGGAGGACGCGTTTCCGGTGCTGCTAGAGGCCACGGCAGAGGACAGGGGAGCGGCCAAGGTGTTCTTTACCTTGGAGAGGAGCGACGTAACCAGCGCATACGATGACTGGTCATGTTCGTCCTCCTCCGAGAATGGATTGAAGGAAGTCAGGCTTGTCACATCGTCGACAACCTTGGTGCTGCTGCGCGACCTCGAAGAGAGCTCACTGCTATGGGCGACGCTAGAAGTTGTCGCCTTTGGGGATTCCATGAATGGGTTACTGCCCAGTGTTGACTATTTTATGTCCAGCATGGGAGCACGGGCGGAAGACACTGGCACAGACGCAGCAGGGCAGGCTATTCGGGGTGTACATGACCGAAGCGGTGTGCTGGATCGAGATTGGCGCGCAGCATCCACCAACCGTGGCCACTAAACGCGGCGTTGGACTTCAGAGTTGCGTTGTTCTGCTGTTTCTCAGCGACGTCTTCGAATTACTGGCCTGATATAACGCATATTTAGAAATAAATCCCGACTCCGAGATGGCATCAGACTCTCAATCCACCGCTCCGACATCTGTACCCCCCGCGGACATCGACCCCATCTGGACTTCAAGTCGTACCGCGCGGCAAATATATGCTCTCGGAGAAGTAGAGAAGGTAGGAAATGTCTTCTTTTGGGGGGAATACCAAAATCAGACTGAGCACTACAACGAACAGGATATCAGCCGGCTGCTCTCGCTAGCCGCCTCGTCCATCTCTCTCTTGACCCTGCCTCAAACGGATGGCCCGGACGATGGTCTGCCACAAGGCGGGGAGCGATCTGAGCAATTTGTGTTGGAAGTGAGCGAGTACTTTGAGCGCCTCGACGTGAGTGCTGGGTAGACCTGAACATCCGTCGCTGAAGCACCTGTCCAGAGCATCCACATTGCAATCCGTTCTTCGTTAGCACACATCCGCCAGTCGCGAATCGCGCCCTCTGCCATAAATGCGCCTCCGCCCGGGTTTGTGCCGCCGTCGCTTGGCGTTGGAATTCCTTCAGGCGGGAATGAGTATAGCAAGGGCAGCCGGGGTCTGCAGGAGGAAAGGGTGGAGCGAGATGCGTGGCAGGCCATTCTTGATGCTCTCGTTCGTTTGAAGGAGGCAAGGGCAGTGGAGGCGGAATGAAACGGATTTCAGGCGCAAGGGTGATCTACGACGTGGTATATTTCTGCGCTACAATACAGGTACGGGGTGATCTTCTTGTACTTGTCACCATCAGACACTAACCTCCTCAAGAGCCTCCTCTGCCTGCATCAAGGCTTCATCTTCCGCTAGCGCAGAATCCTGCTTCGCGAAGACCTGGATGGTGGTTAGGAGTTGTGCTTGAGGGTGAGACTACAACAGGGCTCACAACAACATCGCGCAGATCCTGCACGGCCTTCCCAAGACGAGTGGCAGCATCCGCGATCATCCTCTGATTTTCATCCAGCATGCGCCTCTGAGTGACCATATACGATGAGAGGGCAAACTTTTAAACTAGCGTGTCACACTCACTGCATTCTTGACGTCCCAATCGTCTGGGTCTGTAGTATTGGCAATTAACCTGTCGAGCTTTCTCTTCTGGTCCTCTTCTTCCTTCTGGTAGGACTTGTGCTCCTTGAAGAGTCTGCGAATCCTGTCAGGGACGACCAGTGCTGGATAAAAACAAACACAGAAAGTCTGCGGACCGTTTGCAAGAACCCGACTTGATCTTCAGCTGACGACGAGTGGCTGCAGTATCGCTCATTGTTGTGATGGTGATATGGTGTCTGACAAGTAACCTGATGGTATCGAGATGTCGTGAAAGCTGAGAGGAGGAATCGACGCGGAGCCAAGCGCCGCCGTCGTCATATTGTCGATCGGACGTGGATCTCGTTCCAGCCGTCTTGAAACACATCATGCGGCACGTTTATTGGGTCCATACGAACTACAGTAACGTTCAGCCGGACTGAAGAGACGCAGAACACAACGGTTTGAATCACGCAGTAATTATAACTGCACAGGAACACCCCCCTGGGATCCATATCTGAGTATCTCAGTACGGCCATCTTTATTTGTCTGTAAAACACACGCGTGGCAGAGGCTTCAAAGTTCAATCAAATTGTACTCAAACATTTGCATCAGAACGTGCAGGGGTCATGAGGAACATTGACAAGCTAACTCGAGCTGCGAGGCAAGTACGTACATGCGGCAACAGCGACGTAGTAGTAGTACCTAGACTAACTAAAGCACTGAGGGAGCACGGAGCGCGGGATGACGATTCCAGGGCATAAGTGGGGCATACGAAGCGAGGATAGTGCAAGAACAATGATCACGTCAAGTCTGCGGTCGGTCTGCGCTGTACTCAGACCCGCAAGCAGGCTGAGCGACGCACGAGCGGACGGACAGACGTACACAATACTGACCACAACTTCAACACACGGTACGACGCTGACATCCAAGACTGACCCTCACTGCACTCAATCTCACCGATGGGCACGAACTAGCATGCGCGCGTGGGAGATGCGAGGCGGGAGGAGAAAATCTGAATGAATGAGCGGGGCCGCAGCGAAGGCGATTGTAGAGCGGACGGATCAAAGCTGCACAACTTCGTCGACGAGATCCCCATCTTCGCCATGTCTTCCTAGCTGGCTTGGTTGGCAATACGTCGCGTGGCCTGCCAGAACAGCATGTCGAATGGATGCGCACAACGACTAGCGCGCAGAGAAGCTTGTCGAGAGAGCCAATAGCCAAAGACAGGGAAAGACAGCGGATGATGGGGATGGATCAGAGACTCAGCGTGAACGATGGCGTTGATCAGGCGCCACAGACCAGCGAGCCAGTGTTGTAGGGTGGCATATGGCACGGGGAAGGGAGCTCGTAAAGGGAACGTGAATCTGAATCCGAGGTTGACGATCGTTCAAGGCAAGGGTAGGGTGTCGAGATGACAGTCAGGCATCCACGGCCAGTGTATCGGCACACAGCTTGACGAGGCACGTAACCGCAACTAAGCGGTCGTCGCCGTCAGGCAAGCATGTGTAGGGCGGGACTTGGGTGAGCGAGCAGGAGGGGACAAGCGACACTAAAATAGTCAAGAATGTGCGCGCGGGGAGCGAGGCACTACACGTCACCACCGAGGGACGGTGCGCCTCGAGCTGTCTTCCGCGGTCTTGCGTCAGTGTCGTGTCGCGCCTTCGCATCAAGCCAACCATGGCGCCTTCTGCATGGGGATATGAGTGTGGGTCTCTAGAGCGGCACGGCCGCTTTACAACCCAGGAGGCCAAATGAACTTGAGGTGTCACGGACGTGGGGGGGGGGGGGGC